CCCCTGCTCGGTATCCGGCTCGATACCGCGTCTTGGTACCGAGCTCAGTACCGCTGATGTAACACATTCTGATTAGTATCCGGCCGACGAATTGTGTTCGACGTCTGCACAAAATGGGCTAAAAGTTTGGTAAGTAGTTGAGAATTATTAATAGGAAGAATTCGTTTTGTTGACTTTAATTGGATAGAGTGAAGTTAAAGAAAACGCAAGAAGGGGCCATATGCTTAAAAAAATAAGATAAAATAACGGCAATATAAAAGGGCAAGCTATTAATTTGCCTATCAACACTTTGGAAATATCTGAAGTGTGCAGCTAACTAATTAAAAAAATCTGGAAATTGTTAGAGAAAGCTGAATTCAACCGGTTCTATAAATATTAGAGCCATGCTGCACCAATCTATGGGGTGTGACACCTTTGTAAATTTAAGAATATTTAATGCAATCATGTATAGTTTTTTAATAATTATGCATATTATAAAACTTTGGTCATTATTAATTTTAAAAGATAAGTATAAAATTAAGTTCTATGTTACAGAGATGAGGATGCTCAGGCCAATAAGTAGTTTTACTCTTAGAAATAAAATGTAAAATAAGTATATATATGAAAATGTTGGAGTAATTTCAATGACAAATAAGATTAGAGAGAGTCGACTAAGATGATTAGATCACATAAAATGTCGGCCATTCGAAGATCTGATTAGGAGAGTAAATGTATTAAATTTGATCTATGTAAAAAAATGTAGAGATAGATAAAAAAAATTGATTATAGTGTATTAGAAATGATATTTTTTATTTGATTTAATTAAGAGTTTGAGTCTTAATAGAGCATGATGGAGAAAAAAATTTATATAACCGACCTCACTTAATGGGATAAATTACCTAAATCTCCTTCGTCTTGAAGAAAGTAGTGGAATGTTGATGCATTGGATGCGGAAGTTATGAGGTGGTTTGCATTATTATTAGTTTTAATATTGGGGAGCTATCACTGCTGAATTCAGTTTTGTTCGGGGATGATAGCATCAATTAGGTGAGATTTGAGTGAATATGAAGAATCGGGGAAAAAGCTCTGAAATCTATATTAGTCTCTCAACAAATAGTTTGGGGTTCAAAGGATTCAAAATATGCTTATTCATCACTTATATATAGGGATTAGAGGAGTATAGAAAAAGCTACACATGAGAGAAAAAAAAAATAGAAAATACAACTTATAGTATGTCTTTTATAGACTCTCATAGATACATTTCTTATTGGGTTGGTTGACATGTGGATTCTTATCTTTGACATGGCTCTCTATTTTGAGGTAAGTCCCCCAATGTGACTCTATGAGAATGAGTGTTTGGTGCGAGTTCTTATAGAAAATGGTATATAAGGGGTGTGCGACACCTGCAGGTTCAGCACACCTGCAGGTTAAGCATCTGGATTGACCTATTTTGACTTGTTTGGAAAAAGCTGCAAGAAAATGATTTGGAGAGGAAGAAGAGGATTTTTTAGCCACTTCTGATAGTTTTCAGCCATCGGCCCACTTTAGAATATTGTCCGGATCAAGGTAGGTTACATTACACTTATTTCAATTTAAAAAAATGAGAAGTTTTTATCGAATTTTGACGTCAAATTTCGGTTCCAATTAGAAAAAAAATACTAATAACTTTGCACAGGTAAAACTTTAATCGCTTAACTTTTTATATTGAAAAGCTCAGCAATCTTAGACTTGTTGGATTCGTCTCACCAAGCCGCTCGATTTTACTATAAGACTGTCATATATGGATATCATTTTGTCATCCAATTAATGCTTTTGAATATTCCAAATAAGCTTTGAGTATTCGATTTGTACCCATTTAGGCTCAGATGGAATCAAATTTAGTGTCGTTAGGTTTGCCTTTCTAAGACGTTCAGCTCGACTATAAGTTTGCTGAAATAAGAGTTCAAATGAACATGAATTTGATTTTTAGAAGTTTCCAACTTAAATATGTCTTGAGATTCGTGCTCTATCGAAGCATTATTTGGTGACGTACCAATCATATCATTTTTTAATCAGCATAGCTCTATTAACTCTGATATGAGCTATTTAACCTAATAAAATATATGCCTATTTCAACACTGCCGAATTATCTCAACACCAAATTATTATAAGGTGACTATAGCTTCGTTTGTGATGACTTTTTTATTGCTTCTTATAACAATTTTTTAGTACAAAAATTAAATTTTTTTTTACTAAAATGCTATTTTAAGAGCTAGTTGTCCCAAACAAAGTCTAAGATTTTATTTGGGATAATTTTCTTATTTTCTTATAATAACTTTTAAATATAATTAAAAAATAGAAATATATGCCTATTTCAACACTGCCGAATTATCTCAACACCAAATTATTATAAGGTGACTATAGCTTCGTTTGTGATGACTTTTTTATTGCTTCTTATAACAATTTTTTAGTACAAAAATTAAATTTTTTTTACTAAAATGCTATTTTAAGAGCTAGTTGTCCCAAACAAAGTCTATGATTCTATTTGGGATAACTTTCTTATTTTCTTACAATAACTTTTAAATATAATTAAAAAATAGAACATAATAGTTATCATTATAAGCTGTCGAAAAAAAAAAACTAAATTCTAATAAAACTAAAATATTATATCATTTATTGGCTTCTCTACCTACAAATATGAGGATTAGAAAAAACAGCTAAAATCATTTATGTACAGCAGCGTCTGCAAGCAATGATTCACTGCAAATTTGTACCCTTTAACAGTGTATAAATTGATGATCGCTGATGCATTTTAAAGTCTAATAAATAATTTTCAGTTGCTAAAATCAACTGTAATAGATTGATATAGCTTTTGCAAATATTCTGATGAAAAGTGCAACAATATTCTATTTTCAATATAAATTTATTTTATTTTTATAACCTCTGCAATATTATATTATTTTACAGCAATTTGCTCTTCTTTATTTATTATTTTTAAAAAAATATTTTGATCTTAAGTCATAAAATAAAGAGGAGAGAAGCACGAGTCGATCGAGCCATGCAATTGTGCAACTAATGAGGGCATATGACCCTGATGGCTATCACTCTAACGCTTCGTTTGGGATGGCTTTCTTATTGGTTCTTAAAATAGTTTTTTTTGTACAAAAATTACAACTTTGTACTAAAAAACTGCTTTAAGAAGCAATAAGAAAGCCGTCCCCTAAATTCCTCCATGGGAGGAGGCCTATATTTTTCCTTACATAATGAATCAGATTTATACAAATATATAATACTTTATGCAATTCAAATGTATAATATTAATGAAAGAGAAGACTCAAATGAATGAAAATAAATTCATTTCTTATAAGCTGCTTTCACTTACATTTCCAGCACAGGAAATAATAGAAGAAGGAATCTGCATCTTAACAAGTATCATTGAGGCTTCGTTTAGGACGGTTTTTTTATTGCTTTTTAAAACAGAGTTTTAGTACAGAAATAAAAAAAATTGTACTAAAATTTCGTTTTAAAAAGCAATAAAAAAACCGTCCCAAACGAAGCCTGAGTCTTAATAGAGATGAAGCAGTCTACATGCCTATGAGCTCTGCAATCTAAAATTTTAATAGGCGAATTGTAATGTTAGAGGTATAAAATGGGCTAAATCTAATTAACCTAAGGCAGGCCCATGAGCCCAAATAATTGCTAAAGGCCCAATGCAACCAGTTTAACCCATAAGTAGCTCAGCAAAGCAGCCATAAATCTAGCCAACCCAAGTTATAATAGGCTCCAGATGATCTTTTCATTAAGTATTTGCTTTAGCTTTAGAAGTAGCAATGGGATCAACAAACAAATTTATGTCGAAAGCAAACAATTTGATGAGAAGAATAAAGTAACGCAAAGTGCCTTGATCCAAGTCCAAATAGACCTAAATTGAATACTCGAAGTATAATAAAAAAACTTCACAACATTATTTGACGGAAAAAATAATTTCAATATCTTGTGTTCTTATGATCAAATGATAGTATTTGTAGAGTTGAGCAAAGCTGATTATCAATAACCATCATCTCCTAATCGACATCAATAAAGTCATGGCGTAGCTAATAAGGCAAATGCATATCACTGACAATAATATTTACAAACGTCATAAACAATAAAGTTGTTGCACACTATAAACACTAATTTTGATGCATATCATCGCTAATATCGCCAATGCCAACCATTGATATCGGCTCTAATAAATGTCGTCGACATTAACCTTAGCATGTCATTGTCATCAATAAGGTCATTGTACATCATCACCATCAACACGAACCCCCATTGTTGACTCCAAAAATTTTTGTTCATTTTTTGGTATATGATCTCTCATATAAAAAAAAGATCGAACTAACCATTAAAGATCTATCAAAGGCAACATCTTAATAACTCAATCAACTTATACCATGAAAGTCATCATTCATAATTCACATCTATATGTTTTCCCAATGTCTTCAATGATTATGGGGAAGTGCATTATTTGAAACCTACGACACATGCTAGTTAAATTATTTCAACCTTGTATCTTCTATTAGTTGCTTTAACTTATCTTATCATATGTTTGCTAATCTTTGAGAAATGGTAAGACAATAAACTCTCTACTATTGCAAATATTCTAGCACTCAAAAGATGGACTAACTATGACTTGAATGGACTTGGACCATTTGATCCATCTAATTATAAATAGAATTGTAAAATGAGCATAAATTAATTTTTAAATACTCACAATTTTTAGTGTTGTTTGTTTGTAAGATTTAAAATAGATTTAAGCCAACCTAATCACTTTTTAGTTTTATTTATGCTTCGTTTGGGACGGTTTTTTATTTCTTTATTATAAAAATTATTTTAAGAAGCTCAAAGAAAACTGTTCCAAATGAAGTCTTAAATTAAATTCATAAATCCATATTTTAATTGAACTTCATAATCATACATTTGGCAAACGAAATCTAAGTCTATTGACAACCATTAATGAAAACAAAACAGGAATTACAAATCTATCAAATGATTCAAATCCAAATTCTAGCTTAAGTCCCCTGCTTATTATCAAATCACCTTAAACTACCGAATGCTCTTGTTGGTCCGAGCGAGAAGAAAAATTAGCTCCAAAGCTCGCAACCGCTCAATCCACCATTGTTCGGAAGGCCTGCGAAATGATGGAGAAGACACGAATCCCTCTTCGTCATGGACTCGCGCGATCAGGTCCTCCGCCGACCTCCGCCGCTACGGCCACGTTCTCTCCCTCTATGCCCAGATGCTCAGATCCGGTTACCACCCGGACCCCTTCGCCATTTCTGCTGCTCTCAAGGCGTGCGCTCGCGCTCCTTTCATGGCTGCCGCCGTCGCCATTCATGCCCAAATACACAAGCTCGGACATCGTACTGATGTCTATACACAGACCGCGCTCGTTGGCCTTTACTCCAAGCTCGACGGAATTGTAACCGCTCAGAAGGTTTTTGATGAAATGCCCAACCGAAATGTCGTCTCCTGGAACTCAATACTCAGTTGTTACATCAGAGCTTTGGACATAACGGATGCACGCAGGGTGTTCGATGAAATGCCTCTTAAAGACGTGGTATCCTGGAATTCAATGGTTTCGGGTTACGCAAAAGCCGGTGACATGGACCGCGCCACTGAGCTTTTCTGGGCCATGCCGGAAAGGAACCCAGCTTCATGGAATGTAATGATCAGTGCATACATTGATCGCGGAGATATGGCACGGGCAAGAAAGTTGTTTGATGTAATGCCACAGAGGAGCAATATATCTTGGAATGCAATGATTACTGGTTACTCAAGACGTGGAGATGTCACTTCTTCAGAAGAGCTCTTTAAAAAGATGGATACAAAGGACATATTTTCATGGAATGCAATGATTTCTTGCTATGTTCAGAATGGCTTCTCAAGAGATGCAATTCAGTTGTTCAACAGAATGCGAAAGCCCGATGCTAATGTTAATCCTGATGAGATGACCTTTTCAAGTGTTATCTCTGCTTGCTCCCACCTGGGAGAGTTGAAATTTGGTATATGGATTGAGGATTATATATGCTCCATTGGGATAGAGTTGGATGATCATTTGCGCACTGCTTTTATAGATTTGTATTCCAAATGTGGAGGCATGGATCAGGCTTTCAAACACTACCACCATCTCAGGAAGAAGGATGTAGTATCATACAGTGCTATGATATTAGGATGTGGCATAAATGGAAGGTGTGGTGAAGCTATTAGTTTGTTTGATGATATGGTGAGATCAAAGATTGCACCAAATTCAGCAACTTTTGTAGGACTTCTCACAGCATATAATCATGCTGGTCTGGTTGATGAAGGCAATAGATGCTTTGCTTCTATGTGGAGCAAGTATCTTGTTTCACCATCAACTGATCACTATGCTATTATGGTGGATCTTCTTGGTAGAAAAGGCAGATTAGAAGAAGCTCATCAACTGATTCTGGCAATGCCAATGGAACCCCATGCTGGTGTTTGGGGAGCATTGCTTCTCTCTTGTAGATTGCATGGAAATGTAAAACTTGGCGAGCTCGCCGCAAAAAATTGCTTTGAGTTAGCACCAGATTCCAGTGGTTACCATGTTATCCTGGCCAGTATTTATGCTGAAGCTGGGGAGTGGGAGAAAGCTAAGAGTCTAAGGAAAGTAATGGTAGAGAAGGGATTAGCTAAGGTGCCAGGGTGCAGTTGGGTGGAGCCTAAATGATCCTGTTGTGTTATTTGAGGGAAGAAATTTTCTGTGACAGAGTAGTCTTGGTTGAGGCTTAGTTATGGGTGCAGCTGGGGCGTAATGAATCAAACTTGCCAACAGTTTCCATAATATTTCTTATATTCTGCGAAGTGTGTGCTGGTACTTATTTGGGGGATGTGAAGATGATTGGTTATTTCAGTGAGGGATGACTGTGGAACTGATTCATTGGATGAAGGGAAGGATAAATGACAGGCCAAGTTGCCATTGTAAGTCACTGAACAAGAAATGCTGGAAGGAAAAAAATGCTTGTAGATGGTTTGAAGTTAACTGGCAGTTGATTTGAAGAGCTAGAAATTTTGTCAGAACCATGAACTAGCACTTGTTTTCGTTGTCTATACACAAGCTTCAACCAAAGAAATGGATAAGAAAAAATAGGAGCTTGTTCTGCCTTTATTTACAGATGTAAAAGCTGAATGGGATTGTAGTTTGTCTTGTATGAACTGGTAAGTAATGCTGATGCCCAACTGACTCATTTAATCCTATACTCCGAATCCTTGAAGTGTCTTGGTGATCCTTCAGAAATCTTTCTTAATAATAGCCCAATTATATTCCTTCCTGAATTGTTTGATATCACTAATTCTTCTTGCTATAACATCATCGGAAATATCTTTTTCTAAGGTTTTGATAAATTTTTTAGGGATAAAGAGGATTCTCTCTTTGCAAAGCTAAGAAGCTCTTCTTGCTGGTTTTCTTGAGGTTCGTCGGCAAAATATGTGTATCTTAAATGCTACTTCATAAGGCACCCTCCTTACTGTTGGTTGGCCTGTATTAACAGTTTAACGATTGATGATAATTTGAAGGCTATAGATATCATTAACCATTGTAAGTTATGCTATGTGGAACTTGAAGATCGCTTTTTTAGGCTTTATTTGGGACGGTTTTTTCTTGCTTTCTAAAACAGTTTTCTAGTACAAAATTTTCTTAAATTTAAAATTTTTATACTAGAAAATTGTTTTAAAAAGCAGTACGAAAGCTGTCCCAAACAAAACCTTATTCTTTGGAAGCACTTTTTTGCTATGATAGTTTGTCTTCTACTTTAGGCTTTTTAATAACAGATTTTGAGAGCTAGCTCTAAGTATGAACAATAAATGATTAGGGGATTCCATCTTAGAATTATTTATACAATTTGGAGAGAAAATTTCGATAGATTACATGCAAATTGGAATTCATGCCTCAAAAAAATTGAAGCATGTACAATTTTTATATTATGGCCAGAACGAATTGTATTGGCTGAGCAATATTGAATTTTATTTATTAATTTTCGATTTTATTTTTGTTTTGACAAGATTTTATTTTATTTTTTCTAATATCAAAAATAGATGAAACCTCATTACATCATCATTTAAACACGTTTTCAACTTGAATTAAATTTCGAATGAAATTTTATAGATAAAAAATGGTTATCACAACATAGGAAATACATCATTCCGTCAAAACAAACAAATTCAATATATTGCGCATATTACAGCTAATGATAATAACATTCCAATTAATAAGGATATGCAGAAAAATCAATTGCATTTGCATTTGAATCTAAGATCTGTACAAAGGCATGCTTTAAGTGTTTTCAAATTAATAATTATGTTAGTTAGTTCCCCCATAAAAATTTACATATAAATATATAGGAAGAAAATGAAATTTTGATGTTCATGAATGTTATGAAGAGATAACTGATTTTGGGGATGCATTATTTAAACAATAAAAAAATCATCCTAAATAAAGCTCGAGTCATATAAGAAGATAAATATAATTTTTAAAATACATTTCAAATATAGAGAGAAATTTTACATGTTTATTATTGATAGTGAGTTAATATGAATTATATATAACAATCTGCTTAAAATTGCATAAATTTGAAACATAGACCACATCCACAGCATAAAAGATAGTTGCCTGAAGTGGCTAAAATTGCTACATATAGGGCTGCAAGCAAACCAAACGTTCGACGAGCTACTCGTTGTTCGGTTTGATTAAAGCTCGTTTGTTATTGTTTAATTAACTAAACAAACAAATTTGAACAATATTTTAAATACTCGATTCTTAAATAAACAAACTTGAACACTAATGCATTCAGCTCATTTATGTTTGCGAACAATATCATTTGAAGTTTGTGAACAAGCTCGACATTAAGCTCGATAAGAAGCTCGATAAAAGATTGATTCATGTTCGATTTTGAACTCATGAATAAGCTAAATAAAAATAATTAATATTTGACTATAAAATTAATAAATATAAATAATCATTGCCTTTGTTACATAGACAATTGCTTATATTATAAATGTGTTTGTTCATAGATATGTTCATGAACATATTTGTTTGATAGTTTAAAAAATTCATTAAATATGTTCGCGAACAAGCTCGATAGACATTAAACAAACAAACATGAACTGAACATGAACCAAACACGAACACTCATTAATTTAAATGAATCAAACATGAACACAAACAATAAAGCTTGAACAACCATGAACCAAACTTGAACAAGCTGATATTAAATGAACACAAACATGAACACTCGCATACTTGATTCGGCTCGTTTGCAGCCCTAGCTACATATATGTGATATAGAGATGCCTGCCTATTCAATTAGCTACATATACTAACAAAATCTAATGTGATGTATTACCCATAAACATCGCTCATGTTATTTTTGTAGGGCTTTGGACTTTATGATTAAGTGCTATAAATTTGAGAGGTAATTTTTTGAAATTGTTTCAAGGAGTGAATATTACAAGTAACAATGAGAGCTGTAGATGAGTCAATAATCATTTAATATATGAATTGTAGATGAATTTTTTTTTTTTTAAATTAACTAATGTACCCCACTACTTTCAAGATGAAAATGATCTATATATATTTTGACCTTTAGTTGAAAAAAAATCCCTTTTTGAATGATATTTTATATTATAACAAGGCACTGGATAATCATTTGTAGTATCTTATGAAGTATTTAATATTTTACAAGCTCAAAAGTATATCTAAATCTTAAGAAAAACATTGTTCTATGCAATTAAGCTTAAAAACCATAGAAGAGAGATAGGAAGCCTTGCATACAATTAACCTTAAAAACCATAATCATTATCTAAAGAAGTTGTTTTAGCTACAGAAATACAAAAAGATAATCAAGATCCTTCAGTTTCAAACAGATAGATTGGAAAGCCTCAACAGTAAGGCTAACCAGATTATTTCTCACAAATTTGCACCACCGAACATTACGGAAAAAAAAAAGTAGAATAAATTATACAGTAGCAGACAAAATCATAATGCCTCCAGCATCAAACGAGACATCTTTTATTTTAATTACTTGGCCAAAATGGCCCTCCAAAATCCAAGAAAAATGCAAATAGTACTCATCTGCGAAGTTAATATGGCTCCACAGGAGCTCTGAACTTAGATCCAGCATAAACCGCCGCTTCACCCAGCTCTTCCTCGATCCTCAGTAACTGTGAGATTGATTAAGAAAAAAATTAGCGCTTAATAAGAACATGGGAACAAGAACAAAGTAAACTATGAAAAATATATAATATTCATATCATTAAATGGTATAGGAAGTAAACTTGCCTGGTTGTATTTGGCAAGACGTTCGGATCGGCACGGAGCTCCGGTCTTGATTTGGCCCTAGTTAAAATTAAAAAAAATAAATAAAAATAAAACACAGATATAGATCCATGCAATCTGTGTCTCTGTGATAATTCTGAAAGAAAAAGTATCGAATTACATATGATGGTGAGATTTTAAATTTCGATTTTTTATTTTCAGCCTGGAAGATTCAAGATTTTGGCAATTTGAATATTCAAGTTTGAAGTTATTTTCAGTCATTTTGAATTTTTAAGGATCCATAATTTAAAACTTTTTTTTTTCCTTCAAAAACATGTTTTTTTAAATTAGAGTTTCAGTAGAATTTTGGTCGTTTCAGTTCCAGGATTATCAAAACTAGCCAAAATTAAGTAAAACTGAAAATTTTTAGACAATTTCGAATAGATCTGATGAAATAGATCCAAAACCTAAACTTTCAAAATATTTTTGGAGTTCTGAAATTCATTACTGAAAATTCATTAAAAAGATGAACAAGAAAAAAATGCACAGAAAAAGTAACTTACTGTTGCCAAGCCTACGGAAAGATCAGCAATGAAAGTATCCTCAGTTTCACCACTGAAAAAGCAAGAAATAATGTTAGCAGATCACAAGTAAATATGAGAAGTTTTGACCATAATTTTTCGACTATTACCTCCGATGGCTTGCCATTACACCCCAGCCAGCTTGCTTAGACATTTTCACAGCTTCAATACTCTCCGTGACTGAGCCTATTTGGTTCACCTGGCATGTGATAACAAATATACCTCGGATGAGAAGGATTTAAATGATGAGAAAATCGGTTTCATAATTAGTAAACAATATTAAAAAAATAATTATGACCATAGAAATTAGAAAAAGACCCTTCCCGAATACTAGGGGATCATCACATGTAAATTAAAAATACATTTAACAAATCAATAAAATGCTAAATTTATCTTCTGATTGTTTGGCTATGGAGCAGGATTTACGGAGGGGACTCTCTCTCTCGCGCCATGGATTTTATAAATCCGGCAGAACATAGGATTTCGGATATCAGGTATTTAGAGCGAATTGGTTGAATTTTCCATCTAAAGCAGATTTAGTTTGCCTTGAGATTTGTTTTTGCATTTTAGGTCGTTTGGCTGTATTTCGCTCAAATCCGTCTCAAATCTGACCAAAATCCTGCTATCAAACAGTCCCTCAGTATAATTTGAGTAATTTTGAACACATTAACATTAAATGTAATGATTTTAGTTTCACACACAAAACGAGCGACAAAAATTAATTAAAATTTTTAATATAAGATTACATTCAAATAAGCATGGATCTCCCAAAGAATGAAAACCAAGGCATGGAGATGGAGAGTACATTACCTTCAAAAGAAGTGCGTTGCAAGTTTTTTCTTTGATCGCCTTGGCAACACGCTGCAGAAATGAACAAAAAATTAGCTAATATATAAGACTAGACCATTTGTAGACCCCAAAAGTTTCACTTAGGGTGCAAAGAATTACAGTAGGGTTGGTAACAAGAAGATCGTCTCCAACAATTTGCACATGCTGACCAATCTCCTCAGTCAATTTTGCATAATGGGCCCAATCATCCTGATCAAATGGGTCCTCAATGGATAAAATAGGGTATTCTGCTACAAATGATTTGTAAACATTTTTCAGGCTATCTCCTAATATCTTCTGAGAACCATCATTGTTCTGCAGGATGAAACAACAATGAGGCAATAATAAATATAAAGCGGAGTATAACAAAAGTTAATGAAGAATAAAGATGAAAATTTATCACTAGCAAACCAGTAAAATGAAAACTAAAAACGTACCTCCTCCTTAAAATTAAGATCGTACGTCTGATCCTTTTCACTATAGAACTCTGATGCGGCAACATCCATTCCAATGACAACCTATTGATAAAAGCAAGTAAAACATAAGGAAATAGATAAATGAGATAATCCTTCAGCGTGCATAGGAGTTTAATCAGTCTGAAAAGAAGGCAAAAGTAAAAAAGACTGTACTTTGTCAGTATAGCCAGCCTTCGCAATAGCAGTCTTCAACAATTCAAGACCCTCCTTGTTCTCCTGTGTTTTCATTAAATGTCAGAAAAAGAGAATCACGACTGCCATTCAGAGAAAATAATGGAGAACCAATGCACCAAGCGAAGAAAAAATAGCTCGATAAGATTAGAATGCCATTTCAGGAGCAAAGAACGAGGAATAACATGCACTATAAAGGCAATGGACCTCCTACGTGCAGCAATAGCATTATTGGAATAAATTTAACCAACAGAGTGATAGGAAACACTTGTAGATCTCAAGTTTTCCTATCAATCTTCGGAAAACAGCGAGATTTCTCCACAAAACCACGAAAACAGTAGATAATTTGTATTATTTGATGAAAAGAAAGCGGAAAAATGCCAAGATACAATTGATCCTCTATTCGAGAGGAGGATCAATCTCTCCCAATCTCTAAATGCCGCTAGAGCCCAAAGGAAAACCTAAATCTAGGAGATCTCAAATTTCAGCCAAATTCAAGATCTAACCTTAGGAAAACAAACTATTTAATGCATACAAATCAAAAGGAAATCTCTAAACAGTCCATACATTCAAATTTCCCTCTTAACTCCCCCAATATTCTTTCCTATTTGGCTCCCGAAAACTTGCGGCTTGATCGGCTCGGCGGGAGAGGCGGAGAAGTTCTGCCTCTATTTGCCTGGGCCGGTCTCGTGTGGACCGGCTGGACCGGTTTAACACAGAGCAGTTTCTAAAAGGAATTTGCTTATGCTGAATGTGAAGTAGATCTAATAAACATGAGCATAATGATGACAATGATTAAGGTTAAAGAGAGAGTGTGTCTGGAAGGCAGAGGACCTACGAAGTGTTCTTTCAAGTAACAAAACCCTCAATTTGAACAGTAAAAATAGACGATTGTAAAAATAGAATGGTGAAAGACATCCACCTTTATTATTACAGCCAGAGGCACGTATTTGGAAAATAATATCAGGGTGAGAACTTTCATATATAACAGATAGAGACTTCAAAAACAGGTTAAATGAAAATAAAGTAGATCCTTAAAGACTGAGCAAGGTATTAATAATACATTTTTGTGAACGACTGAATGATGGGGAAGCTTACAACAAAATAATATGCCCCAGAAAGCAATTAAAGTCGTGGTCAGAAAATGATTCATCTAGAAAACACCATACCTGAATATTAGGTGCAAAACCACCTTCATCACCAACATTTGTAGCATCCTGACCATACTTCTTCTTAATTACACCCTATAAAAGTGAAGGCAAAAACCATCAGTAGAAGTAAAATGCAGGCAGGAAGGTTTAAATTTTTCACGTCTTTCACCTTTAGATGGTGATATATTTCAGCACCTATCCTCATGGCTTCCTTGAATGAGGCTGCTCCAACAGGAAGAATCATAAATTCCTGCGTAATAATCATCGTAACCAAGGTTTAAAATTGCAAATTGGGTATTAAGGCATTTTTCTTTCGTGAGTCAAGACGTAACATCACAAAATTACGTAAAGTAAAAATAAATGTTGATATTTTATATGATACCCAAATAATATATTAAAGTATGACATATGTATTTTCTATTGAACTAGGAAGTAACAAATTGGCAAACATTTGAAATAAGAAAAGCACAAAACGTAAAATGACAAGTGATAAATTGCGTGAAATAAAATTAAAATTCAAAATTTGCAAGAGTAAAATAACATGAAATATAAGAATTGCATAAAAGTATATTATAACATCAAATTCAACTCCAAATTCCTTCTTTCTCAATTCCCTACTCATCCACATTCGATTATCAAAAAAAATCTGACATAATTTGTAACAACTCAAAAATCATCTACACAATCATCACTGAGGGGGTTTTTATTTGAGTCGTCATCAAAAATTGGTCTCTCCCATGCCTCATCCTGTGGAGTTCAATGTCTCTGAATCTGTTTATTTATTTCAATCATCTTTCTTATTCATAAATATTTGTCATCAACATTAAGATGAGAATACTGCTCCAAAATTTTTAGATGATGAGGTGGTGGTGGTGTACTGTTTCAAGTGATTCCTTGTGGTGGCAACAATGCTGGTGGCTACGACAAAGACGGTGGGCTAGAGGTCGAGGGGGTTGAGAGGAAGTTGTCATGGCTTGGGGGTGCATGAAGGCATGATTTGTTTGGGGATTTAGTTTAAGATTTAGGTAAGTTTTAATATATATATATATATATATCAAGATATATATCAAGTGAGGTGTATGCCTCACACTAATAAGGCAAGGCACGCCTCAGTCAAGTTAAGACGCAAGGCTCATAAAAAAACTTTGAGGCGTAAGCCTTAAGGCATTTTTCACTGGAATTGCGGTGAAGGGGCCCTCAAGACGAGCCTCATATTGCACAATTTAAACAATGGTGACAACAAGCATATAGAAAGCGTTAATCAGGAAGCTTCATTAACCAGCATAATATTGCATGGAGAAAATTCTCTGTAAAACGATTAGAACAAGATTGCACAAAGGAAATGGCAGCCAAAACTTGGACCAACATGCTCGCATAGACCAAACAATAAAAAGCACGGATACTAAAAATGATAGTAGTATGTAGCTACCTGCATGGCAAGCTTGTTTCCTGCATGCGATCCTCCATTAATAACATTGAATGCTGGCACAGGTAAAACCAGATTCTTGTTTCCAGCTAGATTGGCAATGTGCTGCAGACAACAGATAAATAGGTTGACAGACAATGGAAAATAAGGCACACAAAAATATAAACAAATAAATTTCACAAACCTGGTAGAGAGGAATCTTCTTCACTGAAGCTCCAGCTTTGCAAACAGCAAGCGATACCGCTAGTATCGCATTTGCACCAAGCTAAAAATTTTAAGGATATTAAACCCTGGAAGCTCAAACAAGAACTAAAAAGAACAAGCAGACGTTTTGGCACCTTCTGTTTGCACCAACCCCACTGATTAGAAGTCCCATCAAGCTCTTGCACCATGAAAGTATCAATCTGTGTTTGTTCTGTGGGATCCTAAATAAATCAACATATATGTATCAGGCACCATGTGCGCTTTCCACTTGATAGAAGCTGATAACAAAATATACCTTGCCAATCAATGCTGGACCAATGATGGCGTTCACATTCTGAACAGCCTATAAAAAGGCAAACAGACAACAAAAAGGTCAGCATAAGTACTCTCCCAATTTGCTGATGTGAACAAATAAATAATTTAAAAATACAAAAAGGTTCTAAGATTTGATCGAGATAAAAGAAATTTCACATGGAGCATATTTGCTTGCAGGAGAAAGATTTGAAAGGTTTAAGCAAGCTGAATGCTCAATTAAAAAAAAATTAACTTGGGCCAAACAATGGTTTCACAAAGGATTTGGGAATGTATCAAATTTAATGTTGAGATTTAATTCCCCGCAACACTTTCACAACCGTGTTGAATCTACATAATGATGTTAGTAATAACTAATAAACAATGCTCGAAGAATATTAAGCCAGAATTTACAGAAAGAACACACTCAAGGAAAGATAGCATCCACAAGATATATAGAATCAATTGTTACACAATTGGAATAAACCAACTTTTTTATAGCATTCCAGCCTATAGACTTAGGTAAAAATCATTCTAGCTCATAAAAACATAAGACTTTCTAGCCTAATTAAACATACAAACAATATGTGCATAGAGCATCTAGCCATCTACATCAAGAACAAAAGTATCAACAATTTCAGTAATTTAAAAATAGGGTTCTATGATATGTATCCAACGTGTAACTAAGAACAACTGACCATTAAACTTATTGATTTCATGGCCTAGGCCGACTGAGCTATCAAATCTCCAACTTGAAATCATCAAGTTCAGTTTGACATGACTCAAAGCAAACACAATATCAAATAAAATCAAACCAGCTAGAAATTAAAATTAATCTGGTTCCTAGCCAGCTCAAATAATTTCAATTCAGGTTGAAAATAAAATTCAAAATTCAAAGCAACATTAGAGGTGGAATTGCACATGTGACCTTATGCACATATGAAGAATCTAACCAATAGATTAACTAACTAGTTGTTTTAATTTAAGTAAACCATATCCAACTTGCATTTAACTCCAAATTAGGCTTCAATACACTCTCCCATCTTGAAACCTAACTCAAATGGAATCATTTCAACTTTTATTAAAATCAAATTCCAAGTCTGCTTTGATTTACAACACTCTTATCATTTTGAAGCATGAAAGCGCCATTCAATCATCATACAGTCAGGAAAAAAAATCATATATAAAAGCAATATATCAGAAGAATTGAGTTGCTCGTATGATGCTTTAATAAGTTTTCCAAACACTTACAGGATGCAAAATTTAATATTCTTACAATCGGCAATCAAATATCTTGATAAAAAGAAGACTTTTTTCATCAGATGATTGAAAATAATAGATGGCTTATTCCTGTGAATTCTCAGAAAAAGCAACGCAAAATAAGAAAATCTACAAAAAGCCAACGGGTAGGCAGCCAATAAATATTAGATAAGCTTATCTTTCCACTTCGGTGAAACATAAGTAAGACTAACCTTAAGAACACCCTTTCCAAGATATTCAGACCCTCCATCTCTAAGTTCCAAAGCTTCATATACACCTGTGTTAAAAAAGAAAGAGCATGCATTCGATCAACATATCAAGGCGTGAGACCATAGGTTTCCAGATGCTTTCCAACCCCCGTAGTGAAGATTATATCGGATATCCAGTTTCAAAATCAAAACATAGAAACCATGCATATTACATCGCATAGCCATAATCTAACGCTGATGTAATATGTTGCATCAATCGCCCAAGTTTTTCCGCAGATAAGCTAAAAGAATACTAAAATTGGAGGACAAAAATGGTCCCCGAAAGAAAACCTTAAATTCTCTAAAACAAATAAACGCCAACAGAATCAATAGATCCCCGAAGCGAAAGTTCATCGTTTCCAACTAAAACTAAGTAAGCAGATCCGTATTGTGAGATAAGATACCTGTAGATGCCCCACTCGGTACTGCAGCCCTTGCAAGAGTTCCATCACTGAGGATAACATCCGCCTAGCGGCACAAAAATAAACGAAAAAATTAGCAAACACGGAAAATGAACTCGCAGTACCATAGATCAAGACCCCCGCCTCGAACAACAGCACACAAATTCCCCACCAAACTAGGAAACCAAACTTAATCACAGATCGTAATTTATACACAACAAAATCTAAAAGCCGATCAGATCTGATAATTAACCTCAACAGTCGGGTTTCCACGGCTATCCAAGATCTGCCTCGCCTTGATTGATTTGATCGTCGCCATTGCTCTCCGAAGAAATCGACGGAACAAATCGGTCAGCTGTGAAGAAAGCGGAAGGAGTAATAACTGTGAGGCGATAGCCGGGCAGTATATAAAGCAGAGAGGCTTCTAGACTTTAGAGACCCGGTGCACAAGAAACAAACGGCGGCCCGTCGCATTTGACGGGACGGTGTATTTAGTGTGAGGCTGGGTGTCCATTGTTTTTCAACCGTCCACGTGGCCTCGTTGTGGGGTGTGAAATTAAACCGGTGAAATAAATATTTCTTCTATTCCCATTTCTAATCAGGAGTGGGGTACATCATGGGGAAATTGTACATCTTCCTTCATTTAAGATATTTAATGCAATCATTTATGAGAGAAGGAGAGAGAAAGATATGCGTGGTTGTAATATGCCTTTGGCTCCTTTCTTTGATGACCCTTAAAGAAGACTAGTCCAATCAATGAGGTGATGTAGGTGGCTTGATCAATGGATGTTAAGGATTTTTTTTTTTAATGGACGTTAAGGTCGTTCAATGAGGAGGTTATAATAGGGGTGTTAATAATTGACATGATATAAAAATAAAAATCCTACTCAAATTCGATCTATAATTTTTGGATTATGATCAACCCGTATGAAAAATGGATATGGTTCGGGTTCCCAATTTCGAACCATTTGAAATTTTGGGTCAGATTTGCATCAAACTGAAAACACGATTGACCTATGGCCCAACGTGGTTTATAAATGAGTGAGAGATAAGCGATTTGATTTACGGGATTTAGGATTAGGGTCTCTAATGCAATAATGCTCTATCTATTTCTACGTGCATCACGGCCCGCCCCTATTCATTTCTACGCATCTCGGTCTCGCCTCTTTGTCTCTGATCTCTGGCTTCATCTGTTTAGGGTTTCCTCTCCACTCTCCAGTCTCCTCCATCTCCATATCAAAGCTCTCCTCGGTCCTCGATTCCTCCCTTCCTCTTACTTCATTTCTACTTCTTTTTTATTCATTGTTTTCTTGTTGCATTCGTAAGTCATAGATAAGGTTTTTTTAGTTTTGTTATTCTAGTTTTATCTTTTTTTCATTTGTTGTTAGCTGCTGTGCAAAGTTTTTTTTTTGTGTTGGACCTTTTGTTCTGATTTTTGCATTGAAGCAATTAAACACTTTTTTTTGTATGAATTTAGATTCTATTAAGAAGCAGTTAACCACTTTTTTTTTAAGAAGTAGTTAACCACTTAACCAATTAGGGTAGGCCATTTAGGGTATGATTCTTTTCCTAATTTCCTTTCAAATTTTGTGTTTTGTATTATTTATAGTTATTTAAGGGATTGTTTTCCTTGTTGCCAGCTTGTAGTTGTTTCCTACTTTCCTTTATGTTGTTATACATGTCAACATGTGCTCGTGTATTCTTTTTTACTATTCTGTTTGTATAAGTTGATTATATGCATTGTAATTATTCTTTTTTGCATTGTAAAATATAGTGTATGTTAGCGACTTAGTAGCATGAGCATTAGTGGGTCATGGGTTGCTATTTTTCTAAAACGTGATGTTATATTTCTTTTTTGTCCTTATGCACTTTAGACTTTTCACTTTGCAGTGATTCTGATTCTTGTTGCATTATTTGTGTTTGCACTTTATTATTGTCAATTGCAACTGAAATCAGCATTGTTCGCTTTCTTGTTTTACATTGTTATGTACTATAATCTACAGAACTAGTTTGACATTTAGAAATTGTCATTCATATTTATTTACTGCATGTATCATCCTATTTGGTTGGCTAGATGGAGGATTCAAACATCATTCATGATAATTTTGTTGATGAGAATGAGCAGGTAATAGTGGCGATAAAGTGGTTGAGCTATCTAATGATGCATGTAATGATGATTCAGAAATTTTTAAGAAGCTTAGAAGAATGACTTCAGCAGTTTGAGGTCATTTTGAGATGCTGTCTACTGTCAAAGATGGAAATGAGAGCTTAAGCAATGATGATAAATCCTTCTAAATTGAAAGTGAGACTCCCTTGGGATAAAACTATCGCAACTAGGTGGCATTTGTATTAACTTAGCCTGAACAAATACTATCTAATTAAAAATAAAATCAAATACTTAATTAAGCTTAACGTAATGCAAAGTGCCGCCTTGGATGGTAATAGAAATATTCGTTACTCACTCACATTTTATTAGTTGTTGAATGAGTTGGAGAGTAAATATGAGCTATTAACTTAAGCCTCTTACAATCTCATGCTTTAGAATTATAAATATTTAACCAATTTTTGAAGTTTATTTCTATTTGAAATATTGAAGATAGATTGTTCTCCACTCTCCAACAATAAATTCAAAGATTGGTTTCTCATGTACTGGCTGTAATGTAAAAAGTATGTCTTTAATGCAAATTGATATGTTGCAAAATTACATGTTGAATTTATTCGTGTGCAGGATGTAAGGAAATAAGGAATGTTGATGACTAGAATATACGCGACGGTAGAGTTAAGAAATTCTTGTCTCAGCGTTGTACGGATATCTAGCACACAAATAGAGGAGAAATAACATCAGAATTTGCACGTGAAACCCTAAAAAGGGAAAAAACCACGGGGCCACGCCAGTTGAAAACAATTCCACTAATATTTGTTTGAAGTGCAGAAAGGCTGACTCGTCCACAAAAGTTAGGTCGATCATATTACAATGAATTTCTTCTCAATTGAGATTCAGTTACAAAGTTGAGCAGAGTTCTGGCGTCACCTGGATGTCAGGCAGAATTCTGGCGTTACTCAAGCGACGGGAAGAACTCTGGCGGTGGTCGAGGAGGAGTTATTCCCTCATGTACTTCTCTTCTCTCCGTCTTTTCTTCTTCTCTTCTTCTTGCTTGGGTCCCCTCTTATGAGAAATGAGGAGTTTATTTATAGATTTTATGGAGTGGCATAGCTCGTAAATAGGTGTGAGATCAGGGGCAAATAGGGAGTGGTCGAACGGACGGTTGATATTGAACCCCTTGATCGTGCACCGTTCGTCAGACATTTGAAAGTCTTAGTGATGTCGTAATTCGGCAATCTTGGGCTCGTTGGATTCATCTCGTCGAACCGTTCGATTTGACTATAAGCTCGTTAAAATCGGAGACCATTTGGTAACTGAAATTGTGGTTCGAGGTTTCCAACAGCACTTCGGGCTCTTGAATTAGGCTCATTTGGGCTCGGATCGAGTTGAATTTGGTGTCGTTGGGTTCATATTTCCGAGACGCTCAGTTTGATTATAAGCTCGTTGAAATCGGAGTTCAGGTGCTCCCAGATTTAATTTTTGAAGTTTTCCGTTCGATTTTGCCTCGAGATTCGTGCTCGATCAAGATAATTTTTAAAAATATATAAGGTAAATTGCTATTGTTGTAACCTGTAAGGAAATAAGAATATTTGTTATTTTTTTGTGTACTGATTGTAAGTATTTATTAGTAATTTCAAAGATTTGTTTTTTTTTTTAGTTTGCTATTGCTGATTTTGAAATAAGTAAACTTGCTCAATGCTAAAAAATTTTTGAAGTAGCACTAATATTATTTTTAAATTGTAAATCTACCTAAATTTGTATTTATTTTATACACTAAATAGTTCAAACTTAAAAAACAATTTTTTTCAAACAAATCAAGTCGCCGGGCCATTTTGGATTGACCCGAAATTCGACCAGCTCAAATTCGGGTTAAGAAAACTGACCCAAAATGGAAATCAAGTTGGGTCAAAACAAGTCGGGTTGAAGTCAGGATTTGACATGAATCCGACATGCTAGCCCACTTTGAAACCCGAAGGTCACAACCAAAACCAACGTACATATGAAACCTAATGCTTCATTTAATACAAATTTTTCATTTATTTATTTAAACGTTGCTTTAAAAAGCAATAAGAATGCCGTCCCAAACTAAAGTTTTGTTTGGGACAACTTTCTTATTACTTCTTAAAATAGTAAGAAAACATCGTTTTAAAAAGCACTAAAAAATTGCCCCAAACGAAGCCTAAATCTAATTGAACAACCCAAATTCTCTTGCTCTATTTTATTAATATTTTCTAGAAGATTATTTTTTATTCTAGAACTCATTATTGCTTTCAACTTTCAAGCACATTCTTTTATTTAGTTATGATAACAAGCAAATGCTAGACAAAGGACACCAATCATCTGAGTTTGACCTATTCTTTTATTTGTATCACATTGGCTGCAAATACAAATTCCATCAAAACCTATTCAATTTTAGAACAAATGGGCAAGCAATATTGTCATGGATTATATCAAGTTGGTCCATCAAATTTGAAATACGAATTGCACAAAGATGAGTTACAGGACCAAATCAATCAGATTTTCGTAAGCTTTTACCAAGAGGCTCAAAATTTATGCTCTATAAGAACTTCACTTGTCTCTTAGAGTTTTACCCTCCAGGAAGAGAGGTGTTAATATCCGTTGTGGAATTCCTTGCATCATGTACTGAAGCATCTAGAGTAGAAGACAAGTTTTCTTCTCCTCTAAAGGAAGAAGTTCCTACGATAGGATTTGGTGCTGAAGAACTGAGTTGCCCTTGCCCACCACTGTGAGTCTCATCTATATCCATGGTGGACATTGGAATTGCAACAGTTTCTGTAGCAACGGATGAATCCTGTTTCGGTTTCTTTGTCTTCTGCTGAAAAAAGCTGCCAAGCACCACCTGGAAGAATGATTACAACCAGGATTGAAGTAGTTGCAAGTATTTTAGTTGAGAATCTGAAGTACAAGACAAATATTTCCGTTTAAGACAACTTAAGGGGAAAAAATTTTCAATTCAGATTCGTCGCACGATTACAATAGGCAAACTCAGATGAATATCAAATGCTATCCAAAATGCTCCCAAATCAAGGAAAATACAATGACAATAATAACATCAAGTCTTTATGCCACTACATGGGGTCGGCAACATGAATCCTTTTTCTTCATTGTGTCCTATTAAGAGTCAAATTCTCATTTAAATCTAATAAATAAAAGGTCATCTCTAATGCTTTCTAACCAAGTCTTTTTAGGTCTACCTCTACCTTTCTCAACATAGGCTAGATCTAATGCATCTACTCTCTTAATGTGGTCATTATAAGACTGACGTTTTATACGATCAAACCATCTGAGACAACACTCTGATCAAGGTAAATAGATTTGATGAATTTAAGTAAACCACCTAAATGAAAAATACTCTTTTTTCATCAAATTTTCATAAATACGGTAAAATAATAATAATAATAATAAAGTTAACCTTAGTGGGGATGAAGCAAAGGACAGATGGAGTGAAATAGCAGAATGTGGATGCATGGCTGAGTACGTGGAAACCAAAAGCTGTGGACTACTGGAATACATATAACGACTGTTATTCAAAAGATTTAACAGTGAAAAAAATGGACGATAATCGACAAGGAACTTTACCTTCACGGGACTAGCAGCGATCAAAAGCCCAGCGACTGCTCCCCCTAAAACACGACCATCAGGGCTTGCTAATGAGACACTAATACCACCAGATCGGCTTATTGTTCCTCCATTATCATTTGGCATAAATGAACCAGACAACGAAAGTATCTCAAACCAGCCCTGCAAAACAGCACAAGCGCACAAGGCACATAGCAAACAATGTTATAGTAGAATGGGAAATAGCAAAACCAGATAAATAGAATTCGCACTGAATCTCAAATAGACATTATGAAGCATTGCAACTTGAGGATTTATATGGATCAGGCATACGGGGTATCCTTTCAAATGCAAAATTACAAATTGTTTATTTAAATGTTTGAAATGCCTATTTGGATATCGCTCCGACCCTTCTTAAGTGAGGTTAGGACTTAGGGTGCAAATTGAGACAGAAACCATCTCGCTGCTTGCCCACCAAATGAACTAACCTAACAAGCAGCATTGAACAGCTTATTTTAACGAGCCCACCTCAGGAGATATTAAAGCCTTAGACCTCTTATTTTTTCCACATAACCTTGACTTGTTATCTTATAATTTTTTTTCTTGAAGTGCAGTTATCTATTGTATAGGATAGATTGAGTATATATTTCATTTAATTATTGGCCATAGATTTAGGTTTCATTTCTTCTTTTTTTTCGGGGCAAAACTAGATAGCTAAGTTTAAGACTTTATAAGTTATTTCATCAAAGGCAGTAACTAATAATTTCCAATTCCAAATTTTTTTACAAAATACCAAAGAAACAATCCTGTTACCTGCAATGGTCCATCCTGTGCTTAAAAAAGCAGTGCACTTTATTTACTCTAGCAAGCAACCGCTCTCGCAAGCAAACAATGTTTAAGTTCCAATATGTTGGAAAATCTTGAGGGGAGCTTCTTGTTCTTCTTCCTCAATCTTGAAATCTACATTCTTGAGATCAAGAATAATTTTGTTAAATTCATCTATATGCTTTCTCAAGTCTTTGCTTTCATTCATTTGCAATATGTATAAAGATTCCTTCAGATACAACCGATTGGCAATGATCTTTTCAAATATAACGTTTCCAGCTTCTCCTAGTGATGAGGACATCAGCAGGAGATTTGTGGGCTCCGAAAATTCGGCCTCGACCTCCGCTCGCTTTTCTTATTCGGCGAGGGAGTTTTAACGAACTAAGTTCCGGGGTAAATTTTGGAAGGCAGATGGGTTTGTAGATAAGACACTACCCAGAGATTTCGCCCTCATTTTGTGAGGACTTTATGATCTGAGTTCTGACTTCCTATAGGCGCAAGCCCCTATAGTTAATTACCCCTCCCGATCACGAGAGAGAACTTTCGATTAAGGCTAGTCGTCAATCAGATACGTATAGAATACGTGTTATCTAGCATATAGTAGCAGCAATGGATTTAGGTATTGGTAGAAATTTGAAAACTGGATTTGGATTTGAGAATTTGGGAAGTTTGGATAGTTTGATATTTAAACTAGAAATTTCACCATCGTGTACTTAAAGTGGATGGTGGGGGAATGGATGATGGGCCCGATCAAGATCCCATGGTTTCGTCGTCCCGGGCCATCGTGGTCCCTGGTCTACTTAGTCAGAGGAGGTAGTCGACCCAACCTGACAGAAGGATCCTTGTCGGCAGCCATGGGTTGCTTCGTCCAAGGGGGCCTTGTAGACCGGGGTTGAATGTTTGTCTAAGGGGACAAATTTGAATCCACCTTAGCTGACAGAGGGCTTTGTGCCCTATCGATCATATCCTATTGATTCATATCTCAAGGATTTAACGCCATTAAGGAGCGTATTGGCTCTAGCCATAACCGCTATCTGTGGTGCCATTTGGCGGCAAAACCACTCGGTTCAGAGGGCCCCGGGTCATAACCGTTTACCTGCAGTGCCATTTGGCGGCGAAACTGCCGGTTAGAGGACACGTACCACGTCCTTACTGGCAAGAGATTGTTTGAGAATGGATCATAGTGATATTTCGACTAGGCATTTGGCTCTTTGTGAGCTAAAGTAAACTTTAATTTATCCACCCCGACAAACTGTTGCGGAGGGTGGACGGATTTTGCTTTAAGTGGTTAATGGGTTGAATTCACTTGTCAACCCGCGCAGCATCCCTAGACGTCACGTGTGTACCAATAACACGCTCGCCGGGGCCCATGCGGGTTTTATAATTATTTTCACCCCTTTTAGTGTACCTATGTGTATACAATTTATAGTGCACGTGCAGGGGTACTTATAGAATAGACGCCATATGTCTGCTTGTACGAATGTTGCAGATCCGGTGGCGTGGCGTAGCAGCTTCTGGATTTAGTGGTTCGCTGCTTTGTACAGGTAGACTGTCGTGCACTAATTATTGCTTTATGTGGGCGGATCATAGTGCACTAACTAATCTCCTGCTTTTGGTCGTAGGAGATTGCACTTGTGGTATTCTTCATATATTTTATGGTAGTCTTTGATCTTTTCAGTACATCTTGCCACTACTGCATGTAGGTAGGTAGATGTCTTCCTTTTCGTACTGAAATTGACTTCAGGATACTGCATTTACTGAAGTACTTCTGCATCTACCCAAAGTGGCATGTGGCATGTACATTTGTCTTTGTAGAGAGCTGATATATGTTGCAGATCTTTTGTTCTCTTTCATGCGGATGTGATATACTCCTTGCATGTTGCTTGTCGTTGATCTTTCATTTGCATGGGCATTGCAACATTCACTGCATGATCCTTGGGTTCATTTGTATATTAGCAAGCTATTGTGTTCGTCTGTTATCCTTTACAAAAAACTTATGAAGGTTTTGTGTGCTCCCTTGCATATCTATCATCTTCGTCTCTTCTATATTCTTCTTGCTCTACTTGTTCTCTTGCCATATTTACTATACATGATGACGATGGACCCATCACTATAATTATCATGTGCCTCTTAATATTCTCCTTGCTGGTGAGATGTAGGGGCCTCCCAACCCCACCAAGAATTTGGCATGTATGAGATTTGAATGAATCACACTTCTTGATTAGCGCTTGCATTCTAATTGGCATGATGGTTTTATTGATATCCTGACCATTCTTCAAAGCAAATCCTTTATTGTTATTTGTGGTTTGTAATATGTAGAATGATCCTTCACCTTCACTCATGAGTAAATCCCATTTATTTGGAATCTTAGCATAAGTCCTTTGTTATCACACAAAGATGATTTGAGTTACACATGATGAGATTACTGAATTACATTTATCTCTCAAATGAAATAACAATTTTTTATCACTCATCGAAGACATTGTATTGTTGAATGTAAGCATGTCATTGCAATCACTCCAAATTACCCACATACTTGATTGAGATAGAAGCATAAATATGCTAAGTTGGAATACATGGATCCCTTATTTATCCGTTTGGTATTCATTGGAGTACATGTCATAGGATGACTTAGATTTTACTTACTCAAGTTCCTTGTGATCCTTTGAGTTCAAACCATATTCAAATCAAAGTCCAAACATAATTTGCTATGCCATATTCAAGTTTAAGTGAATTTCAAGTTCATTTTATTATTCAATGCCGAGTTCTCTTGAGTTCAAGTCCGAGTTCAATGTCATTTGCAAGTTCAAGAATGAGTTCAATTCAGCTTGAGTCCAACTCAAGTCTTACACAAGTCCTCCATGTTCGTTCATATGGCAAGTCTAAGTCCTCACTTGGTTCAAACCAAGTTCATGTTTATCATGCTTAAGTTATGGTTTATTCAGTTTTGAGTTCAATTAAGTAGATTTTGGTCCAACCAAGTTCAAGTCCGGATCTTTGTTCAATATAGCTCTTGCATGTCCTTTCAGTTCAATCAAGTCCATGTCCCAAATTGCTCCAAGTCCTTGGATTTTCAATCCAAATTTCGGCAGCCTCCCGGCGTCTCCCCCGTTAAGGGGAAAAAAACCAAGAGGCCGCCTACCCGCCACGCCACCAAAGGCGTGCACGGTTGGTGTTTGTGAGACACCGCGGCGGTTGTATTGTTTATTTTTCTCCCACCACGGCCAACAAAGGCGTGCTTGGGGTTTTAAAAAGCATTTTTTTGAAAAGATAGCATTTTTTGATATTTCCCCCCGCCCGGGGGTACTTATAAGCGACCCCGCCTCGCCGTAGGTGCCGCACCGGGGTCCCATCCCACCACGCGCACCAAAGGCGTGCTTGGGGCGGTTTTCCGGTTCGCCACGAACATTGAAACAGAGTTTTGAGTTTAGAAAATTTCATACCTCCGCGGGGTTTGTCGGGGTTGACACGTGGATCGAGGGGTCACTCGCCTCCCTCGTCGTAGGTGTCGCACCGGGTTCCCTCCTACCACGCGCACCAAAGGCGTGCTTAGGTGGTCTACCGGTCCGACGCGAACATCGAGGAAGGAGAGTGGAGGGGGATTATTGAAAATTTGATTTGTTAAAATTTAATTAAATATATAATTAATTAATCATAATTAAATCATACTACTTATTATTAATATTATTAAAATATATTTAATATATAATTAACTGAATATATTTAATTATAAATAATTATTAATTAAATAATAAAATTAACAATCATTTATAATTAATTAAATTAATTATAAATGACTATAATTATTCATTAATTAAATAATTAAGAATTAATATAAATAATTAATTAGTAATTTAATAATATAATAATAATTAATTTAACATTATTGATAATTAATTTAACTAAATTAAATTAATTATACTAATATGATTTTAATAATTATTTAAAATAATTATAATAATTATAATAAAAATAAAACCCTTCCTTCCCATCAAGCTCTCTGTTTGGCATTTTTACGGGATTTGGCCGAAGCAGCGAGCAGAGGGGAGAAATTACCTTCAAAACGAGCAAGCTCCCGTCGTTACTTACCAATTAAAATGCCGTAACTTCCAAAACGACAAGAAGGGAACGTCGTTGAGGAGCAAAGTCGGTCAATGGAGGAGAGGGAGCTCGGTTTGCTGGAATCGGCTGAGGTAAGAGAATCCTCTCTTCTCTCTGTCTCTCTCTCTCTCTATCTCTCTCTCTGTGGACGGATCGAGCAAGGGAACCGGGCAAGAGGTCGGCGGCCTGAGAGAGGCAGGATTTGGCTCGGCTAGAGTGGAGGTCGGATCGGGAGCGACGGGGGTGGCGTCGGGTCT